GCCAAGCTTGTTCCAAGTAGGTGCTTTAGACCACTGAGCCATCTCTCCAGCCCCGTTCTTAATTTATTGAGAGCGCCGAATCCTATCCACTAGACCAGGGAAGATTTTTCTTAATTTATTGAATGTTAATCGAATGTCATACCAAATAGAAGTTGGTTTTAATACGTTAATTAAAATCACTTTGTGTGCTTGCCTGGCAAGTTTAATCCCTGGTCTGAGTTTAATCCCTGGTTCCACAAAAAAAAAAAAAAAAATCACTTTGTGGGCCAGCCAAATAGCTCAGTAGATTAAAGTGCCTACAAGCAGGCACAGGGGCAGGCTGCTGTGCCGGCCCTGCCCCTGGCACGCGCTGAAATGGCAGTTGAGACTGGGCATGGTGGCAAACACCTATAATCCCAGCACTTGGGAGGCTGTAAACAGGAGAATCACTATATGAGTCCGATGTTGTAGTGAAACACTGCACATCCTGTAGACCCTTCCCTAAAATACAAAAGAAAAAACCAAACATTTTGTCAGTAGATTTTAAAGTTTAAGTTGTCTTGGGTTCAAGATTAACAGAGCACTAGGGTAACTAATGCTGAAGACTCCTGGAACCTTGGGGCTTTATGTCTGCATTTTGTGTTTGTGTTGATTGAGTGCTACTAGGGATTGAGCTCTTGTTAGGCAAGTGGTCTATCAGTGAACTACTTTCCCAGCATCCCCATGTACTTTTTTTATTTTTTAATTTACTTCTAGTTGTGTCTTACTAAATTGCCCAGTTTTGAACTTTTGATCTTCTTGCCACACTCACTCTACTTGGTTCTAACATATATATATTTTTTAATAACTTGCTTTTTTTGGGTGGGGATTGGTGCTGCATATTGAACCCAGAACCTTCACACTGAGCTATATCTCTGGCCCATGCTAAGATTTTGAGATGGGGCTTGCTAAATTGCCCAGGGTTGACTTGATATTGTTGTCCTTCTGCGTCATCCTCCCAAAGTGCTGGAATTACAGAGTAAGTTTATTTTCTTACAGATGTTCGACAGGGACTGATAGGTGTTGGCCTGATAAATGTAGAAGATCGCTCTGGAATCCTTACTCTTGATAAAGGTAATATTGTTCACTTTCTGTGTACTTGGAGTTGTTGCTTTATTAGTGAAGCTTGATTTGTTACATGTGCTTTTGTTAGCTAAAGGAAAGCATCAGGTCAGTTGTTCATTGCTTAGTGTTGAGCACTAACCCTGGCTACACATATGATCATCTCTCAAGCTGTTACAAAATACTAAGCCCACAGGGGCTGGTGAGATGGCTCAGTGGTCTAAAGCATCTAATTAGAACAAGCTTAGCAAAGCGCAGGGACCGCGGTTCAATCCCCCAGCACCACATGCCAGCTAGCCCCGCCCCCTGGTGGGCTGAGCTCCCCCCCCCCCCACAAATAAATAAAGTTTTGTAAAAAAAATACTAAGCCCAGGGATGACTCTCAAAAAGTTTTCCTTATTTTCCAGGAGTTCAGTTGTGCGGCTAGATTGAGGGTCACTGATTGGATGGATGGATGGATGGATGGATGGATGGATGGATGGATGGATGGATATAGATACAGATATAGATATAGATACAGGTATCTGTACACGTAGATGTGTTTTTTTTGTTTTGTTTTTTTTTTTCTCCCTTACTTAGGACAGGTTCTCACTACGTAGAGGCAACTTGTAGAGATGACCCTGTTTTCAGCCTCCCAAGTGCTGGGATTACAGGCAGACACCACCACACCTAGTCTGGATGTGTAGTTTACTTGTACAGGGACTCAAACTCAGGCGCTGCACTTGCCAGGCAGGTGATTGTGTCACTGAGCTATATCCCTGGCTCTAGAATTTACCCTCTTTGAGTTCAGCTTTAATGTTGGTGATCCTATATCCTCACATGCTAGATTGTGTTTATATTGGGCCTAAGTGAAGTTGAAGATGCACAGAGTCAATTAGGAAACCTTTTCTTGAGTATGCAGTGAATGCTAATGTGCTAGAGGTAGACCTACGCCAATTAATGCTGGGACAGAATGGCAAGACAAGAAGTGGAGGGAAGGCTGTAGAAAGGGAATGAGTTTGAAGCTGGCCATGTTGAATTTTCTAAAACGTTAATTACCGTTTGAGTGCATGAAATTGTGTAATCTTGTTGCAGATTATAACAACATAGGAAAGTTCTTAAATAGAATTCTGGGCATGGAAGTGCATCAACAGAATGCGTTATTTCAGTATTTTGCCGACACGCTTACCGCAGTTGTTCAGAATGCCAAAAAAAATGGAAGATATGACATGGGAATCCTGGGTAAGTGGGAAAATGTAAAGCTGTCGTGTGTCTTCAATAGAAGTGTGCTTTTTACATCATGTGTTGCCTTTTCTATTTCAAGATCTTGGTTCCGGAGATGAGAAGGTGAGGAAAAGTGACGTGAAGAAGTTTCTGACTCCAGGCTACTCAACCTCTGGCCACGTAGAGTTATACACGGTGAGTTTGGGGCAGGGCTTTGGCCCAAGGGGAGCCCTGGGAGGGGCATGTAGGGGAGGGAGCATTAACTGTAGCATTTCCTGGTTACTTTCACAGATTAGTGTAGAGAGGGGAATGTCCTGGGAGGAAGCAACCAAGATCTGGGCTGAGCTGACAGGACCAGATGACGGCTTCTACTTGTCCTTGCAAGTACGACCTCCTTGAACGTTAATAATGTAGATCAATAATGGTTTTTATTGTTGGCACTTGGCTCTTCTCTTTGATTTGTGCTGGGGTATGTTATATTTGGTTTTCTCTTATGATAATTTATTCTTACAATTGTGTGACCATGTGCATGCATTCCACTTTACCTATTTTGTGGGTTAGTGAGTAGTCCTTACTCAGTTTTGTTTGTTTTTGTGGGTTTTTTTTTTTTTTTAAACCCAGCCTGGCCTCGAAATCAAAGTGTTCTTCCTGCTTCAGCCTGTAGAGTGCTGGGATTACTGGCTTGTGTTGCTGCACCTGGCCATAACTTTGTTTCTAAAAGACATGATTTTGCTGTGTAGTTTATTTTTTGGCTGAACTGGGGATTGAACTGAGGCCCTTGCACTTGCCAGGGAAGCACTTATTCTACTGAGCCATCTCCCGGCACCTTGCTATGTAGTTTAAACTGGACTTGAAATCACTGTGTAGACGGAGCTGGCCTCACTTGTGACAATCTTCCTGCCTCTGCTTCCTGAGTGGTGTAATTACTGATGTGCATGCCCATACCCAGCTTCAGGTATCATTAGCACTGCTCTTTTAGGTTGTGATTTGTTTGTAACGAAAAAGAGGAGATGCATGTATATGTATGTACTTGTACACATAAGCAGTATGTGTAAATACACATGTCCATATATGATACAGGATTTTGAATTCATGTTGACTTGTAGTATTCAAATTCAAGACTACAGAGGTTTTATACTTCTTGATAAGGTTTCTTGTTCTCCAACACGAAAGTAACCTGTTTTTGCATATACTTTATTCAAAAAGTATTTCTACTTTTGTGTTGTTGGACATACGGCAATTACAAGGTGCACTCTTCCTCCGGCTCTTACTTTGTTTTAGCTCTGTAGGGCAGTATGTCCCTGTTTACCTCACCTGACCTTCACCTTATTGGTTCTCTTTGTGTTGTTCGTAGTGGACTTCAATGCAAGGGCTTATGGGCACCCTGCTGAGTCCTGCCTGCGGATGAGTTGGTACCCCCTTACTAGTTCCTGTGCGTCAGTTCTGGGCATGTTACAGGCCATTTCAAAACATTGTTTCAGGGCTGGGGAGATAGCTCAGTGGTCTAAGTGCCTGCCTGGCAAGTGCAGGGACCTGGGTGCAATTACCAGTACCAAAAAACAAAAAACACCCAAAACATTGTTCCAGATCATTTTTTATCCATAAACTTTATTTTTGTTTAGTCATACTAGGGTTAAAACTAAGGACTTGAGGCTGGGGAGATGGCTCAGTGGAATAAGCACTTCCCTGGCAAGCGCAAGGGCCTGAGTTCAATCCCCGGTTCCGCAAAAAAACAAACTGAGGCCTTTTGGACATTAGGCAAGCAGTCTATATCCCTGGGCTTTTTGCAAAATTTTGAGACAGGGTCTTGCTTACTATGTTGTCTTTGCCAACCCTAAACATGAAATGCTCCTACTTCAGCCTCCTGAGTAGCTGGGATGATAGGTGACCACTATCACTTTTTGGTTTTGTGTTGTTTTGTTTGATATTTTAGGGAACGGTCTACAGGGTGTTCAGGGTCTCACTACTAGATTGGATTTGTAGTGATTCTTCTGTTTACAGCCTCCCAAGAGCTGGGATTACAGGTGGGCACCACCACGCCCAGTCTCAGTTGCTGTCTCAACCCAGCCCAGGGGCAGGGTCGGCACAGCAGGCCTGGGAAATGAGCCTCCAGCCCCTGTGCCTGCTGGCAGGCGCTTTAATCTGCTGAGCTAGTTGGCCGGCCCTGCCTTTTGTTACATTTAAGGGTACAGTCCAGTTGGCGCAGTGGTGTGCAGCCAGGATCCCAGCCTCTGGAGAGGCTGGAGCAAGGGGATTGCCCGCTCGAGGTCACCCTGGACAGTTTATGGAGAGCCTGTCTCAGATAAAGGCCGGGAGGTATGGCACAGTACAGCACTTGTCTCATGCTGGTTTGATCCTCTGTCTCCAAAGAATGAGCGGGATGTAGTTCACTGAGAGAAGTCACATTCACAATGTTTTCAGTTATCCTGTTTTCAAAACTGTCACCCCAGTTGCTGGGTATGGTGACGTATGCTTGTAGTCCCAGTGCTGGGAAGGAGGATCTCTGCAAGTTAGACACCAACCTGGGCTGCAAAGTTAGCTCAAGGCTCGCTTGAACTGCATAGCAAGACCCTGTCTCAAAAACAACAGCAACAAAAGAAAACAAACCTGTAAACGAAACCAAAAGAAAAAATTGAACTTCTGTAAAGGGCCAGGGAGATAGCAAATAAGTGTTTCAGGTTTTGTAGGTTGTCTGTATACACTATGTTGTATTTCCTTCAGGGTGTTTTTCTCGCTTTCTTGCTTAGTTTCTTTCTCCTTCCTCCTCTTTCCCAACTTTTTCTTATGCCCCCTTCCTTTTTTAAACTTTTGTTTATTAGTTGGTTGGTTTTTGTTTTTGTACAGCGCCTCCCTGTGCAGCTTTAACTCATAGTGATCCCCCTGTCTCAGCCCCACAGCGCTGGGATTATAGACATGTACCACCACACCCAGTTTCAGTGGCTGGGCACATCAGGGATTGAACTCACATCCTTGAGCTTGCCAGGCAGTCATTTAGACCACCAAGCTATCTCCTACTGGCCCTGGTTTAGTGTTTTATTTTTTGGTTTTGGGTTTTTTTCTTTCTTTTTCTTTTTTCTTTTTTCTTTTTCTTTTTTTTTTTTTTTAATGTATTTAGTTGTTGCAGAGTCTCTACTGTGCAGCTCTGACTTGTGGTGATCCTCCTGCTTTTAGCCTCTCCAGCGCTGGGATTACAAGCATGTACCACCACACCTGGACTCTGGCCTGCTCAACCCTCCCTTGGGGTAGAGGCTGGTATGACATGTGGTGCTGGGTATAAAGAGGTTCCTGAACTTGCCTGCGCTTACCTAAGCAAGTGCTTTAGTCTGCTGAGCTGTCTCACTGGCCCCTGTGGTTTATCTTTTGTTCAGTTTTTTTTTTTGTTTGTTTGTTTGTTTTTCTTTTGGCAAAACCGGGGATTGAACTCAGTGCGCTTGCCAGAGAAGTGCTTATTCAACTGAGCCATCTCCCTGGCCCTTGGTTTGTTTTTTTGAAACAGGTTGTGTTATATATAGTTCTGGCTGGCCATGAACTCATTACGTAACAGCCCAGGCTAGCCTTGAATTTGTGAAATTGCAGTGATCTTCCTGCTTTAGCCTCCTGAGTGCTGGGGTGCTGGGGCTTTAAACTGTGCTTAAGTTTAAGAGTCTCAGGCTAAATTGAGGTCCATAGGCTTAGGTCACCATTAGTTCTATGAAGCTTTGAAACCATCTAATTCCTATAAGTGCTTCCCTGGCAGGCGCAAGGGCCTGAGTTCAATCCCTGGTTCCACAAAAAAAAAAAAAGAAAAGAAACCATCTAATTCCTAACTGAATTGTAACTTTTTTTGATTATTTATTTTTATTTTGACATCAGTTATTTT